GTGCACCCCCGCCTCGACGGACGCCTCCAATCCCGCGAGGGAGAAACTCGGCTCGTCGGCGTTCGAAACGTTATAGAGGGGTTGGCTGTTAGACAGGAAATCCACGTCGCCGTGGTACACCTCCAGGATGAATTTTTGCGGAAGCCCTCCATCGTAGCCAGCCACGCATTTCACCTCGACGCTGGTGTAAGTCTGGTTCGCGAGCGTGCAGTTACGGACCGGAAATGGTTTTCCTGAAACGAGAAACGTCACCGCACACGGTTAAATGGCACGATTTCAGTATGACTGAAATGGGTTGGGAGGAGGGAAGTGGAGAGATCGTTAAAATTTTACGAAACTCCCCTCCTCCTTTCCCACCTTTTTTCTTTCCCTTCCTCCCTCTCTCTCTCTCTCTCCGAATTATTAGAAAACGAGCCGATAACAACAACAGCTACCTGTGTGTACCGATCTTGTCGCGACAAGGAGGGGGCGACGATCGATCCTCGTCGTTTACCTCGAGTGTAGTCTCGTCGAAGGGGAGGACGAGTCGTCGAGCAAAAGTTGACGTACTTGCGGAAGGTTCGAATATTAAAACGAGCCGGCGCGTGAAATTGCTTCGTAAAGGATTTCAGTCTTGGCTGCCCCTTTAGAAACGTTACGATTGTAAACGGACGGGGTCCGCGGCTCGCCCGCCCTTTTAACTCGCAATATTCCTCGGCTACTTTGCGCCGGAATCCGTCCCCAAGCAAACGGGGGAGAAACGAGAAACGTTTTTGCTAACGTCCCCCCTCTCTCTCCACCGCTTATTATCACCCCCCGCTTTTGTCAACCGCGCCGCGGTATCAAACGAACGATGAAAATTATTTCCTCCGCCAGATTTTATTCCACCTCCTATTTTCCTCTCCACCGATCGGTCGAATTTATATCTCGCTCCTTCTCCAACCGAAATCTCCACATTTTCACCTCTCTCTCGTTTCGTAGCCCTTTCGTCCGCTAATATTTCCAGGATACGCTTTGTACACGCTCTACAGGTTGGCTGGCGGAGGAGGGGAAATCAAGCTCTCCCCTCTCTCGGTGAAAAATGTTTGCGCGTCTACGAGTGGCAAGGATTCAACGTAGCTGGGACAGTGCAACGGTCACAGACGTATCCCTTTTCTTCTTCTTTTTCGTCGTATTCGCCGATTCCTCAGGTGACTTCTCCTCCTTTTCTTTCCCCTCCCTTTGTTTTATCCTTACCTCTCTCTCTCTCTGTTCGGTTCTATTCTAAACAAAATTTCCCTTCCTTTTTAAACAGACAGCGAAGCTATCACGAGTTTCCAGCAGGGAAAATAAATATTGTTCGTCTTCGAAAGAACTTTATTTTCCTCCGCTGCCTGCTCTTTTTCTCCTCTCCTTCCCACACCTATTTACAGCCCCAAAAATCTTCTGCTCGTTCCCTTCGCCTCTTTCATCCGCCCGTTGCCCCTTGGCCTGCCTCCTCCGCTTGTTCAATTTATTTTCATCGTAATACGCGCGAGCAAAGTCGGAAAAGACGCTTTTTTTTTCATTTTTTCACCCCTTCGGGAACCACGGATCGAAAATTCTATCCCCGATAAACCGTTTATATCCCTTCCGTTTATAACTTATTCGAACGGCTAGCCGAAAAATGGACGCACCGTGGACGTGTCTGTGTATATATATATTTTTTATTCGTTTATTTTTTTTCTATTCCTTTTTTTTCTTTTCCCACGAGGCAGTTGGAGGCAGTCGACGCGCCGCCTCGTTACACTCCCGTTATTTAATCAACATCGGGGCCGAGGGTAATGACGTTCTCGCGTCGGCGATTCTTTTCTTTCGCTTTTTAAAATTTAGCTACGTCCACCGGAAATCTGGCGGAA